AAAAAAAGGACCTTGTTGATTCTTCAACAATTTATGATCTCTAGTTTTAGATAGGAATGACAACAAGGTGAGTTCGGACGAGGCAACCTCCCCAGCCCCGACCTGATCGAGTAAGTTCCTTGCCCCGTTTAATGCCCGTTTATTTATTTATAATTTATTTTATTGTCTCCATTTTCAAAAGTGAGACAATAAGATAGTTATTAAATTTTTTAATTAATTTATTCATTTTTAGAAGTTGAATTACTTAAATATGTTTGGTAAACTAAAGTTTTTATTGTTTATCATATTCGTTAGATAATCTTAATTGCCATTTTCTATTAAAATTAATGAAATTTCGTATAGTTTTTTGTTCGAAGTATTGAATTCTTTAATAAATAAATAAATAAATAAAGTTCAACGAGTCGGGACTGGCCCTTATTACCCGTACTCCCCCCATACCTACCTTGGGACAAAATCCCCAACCCCGTCCTCAACTTGAATACCAGATTAAGCGGGTAATTCCCTCCATGAACAGGACAGGACACCCTTAAGTATCGGATTTTGACGAGTTCGGGGTGGGACCCCAAACGTATCGAGTTTGACGAGTTTTTTTTACCATTCCTATTTTAGGATCATAATTAAAATCATTTTGAATTACGCTTACATAAATAGAAGTTAAGTACAGTTAAAATAATAATTAGATAGATAGTTCTCATGAGAAAAAAAATTTGAAGTTTCTAGTTCCATTTCCATACTCGTGTAATATATATCGAAAAGTAAAAACCAGTCAAATTAGGCGATCTAAAGCGGGCTAGCACCACTATTTTAGCTTTGGAAATTTCTGAAAAAGGGACTGTGACATACGTTTCGTGTGTGGCGCTAAACGAAGGAATATAGATATCTTTGTCCAACTTGTTGCGTAATTATAATATATTTTACCAGTTAAAATTCGTCACGCGTTTTATTTCCGTGCTCTCGTAAGTAATAATATCGAGAAAATTATACTTAGGAAAAATACGGAGGATTGAACTAAAACTCAAACGTTCAACTAATATAATATTTTTATATTTAATTTGGTGAATTGGATAATAAATGACGGAGAAATGTTGGACGAACGGATGTGGCCCTTTCCGTTCAGGGCGCCAGTTATTATAGGGGGCACCTAAACCATTGGCGCCCCCTATTGGAGGGGGTGTCGAACTGGTACCTGTTTGGACAGGGCCAACATCGTAAATGACATGATTGTTGAAGAGAGAAAAATTAAAATATCATTTATCTTACAGTTCAATTAAAAAATATTAAATTTAATAAGCATACTCATTATCAGTCAACTTTCGTTACTTGATAAATTATCAAAACAGAGGATATGGCAACTTGTAATGGACGGAGTGGGATGTTTAATTTTAAATAATGGTGATGAAGACAAGTCCCACACTCATCAACTTACTTAGGTATGAACATAACTTTTGAATTTTTTATTTTGGTCCTAATATCAGCCTACATTTGACCATATTACGCGATTTCTAAATAAAAATTTGTTAAGACAACTTTATTTACGTAGGGGAATTCTTCTAAAACTTGAGGCAAAAAGATATGCTAAAGATTGACTTGTAAGAGAGGGGATTTCAAGTCAACTTTGTCATCTTTCTAATTGTCATTTTTTGGTGAGTACACGAAAAAGTGGGCTCAAAGGTTGAGTACAACCCTGCATTTGAACTAGAGATGGACCATAACTTTTTCGGTGAAAAGACCCGAAAGAAAATGTTGGCCGTTTGATCCACATTATTTGAAAAAAAAATATTTTTTTAAAATTAATTTGACATCATTTTAACGAACTCATAAATTCAAATTCTTTCTTATTTTTGAATCACCCATTTTCTATAATTACACTATTCAAAAATGTATTTTTATGAAAATAATGTGACTCAAACAAGGGCTTTATATTTAAGAAATTAAGTTTGACTCATTTTAAAACTAAGATACATGATATAAAATCTCAAAAATTGGATATTAATTAAATTTTATTTATAAAATAAGTAATTAAATATATATTTCATTAATTAATTATATTAATGTCACAATTCTATGCAATTTGATCACATATTATCGAATTAATTGGTCACAAATTATTTCTAATCACAAATCAAAAATTTTATACGTCAATTAATTTATTGATCACAAATTAACAATTTAATTGGTTACGAGTTATTTCTCAATCACGACTTAATAAATTGTCAGTTGCAATCACAATTTTTAGTTGACAAATTATTCATTTTTAACGACCATATATTATTTATTGATTACAAATGAAATAAAATAGTTGGCATAAACAACAAAATAGTTATTCTCAAACACTCCACCCCACCCCCAATTCAACCACTGACACCAATACATGGCTGCAAATTAACTAAGTAATTGGTTACAACACTCTTCATTCCCCTCCGACTACAACCCCAACCCCAACCCCAACCCCAACCCCAATAGTTGGTAACAAATTAACTTATGGTTGGTTGCAAGCCTTCAAATAGTTGGTCACAAATGCCTTGTTGCCATTGCTACCGCCACCGCTTGCACCACCACCACTACCACAATCGCCACCGCCTGCACCACCACCACCACCACCACCACAAACCACCCCCATCTTGTCCCTTCTTTCGCCGGCCAAACCCACTCGTTGCGAGACCGTTGACCACTATAAATTCACTATTATATACCTCTCCAAATCAATAAACAAACCACCAATAGCCTCCACCAAAATCAAACCAGACCACAACCCACCGTCTCCTTCACGTAATTGCCATCTTTTTCAATCTCTCACCTCTAACGGCCATTCGCCACCTCACAACCTCCTACGCCTACATCAACCTATAGAAACCACCGTCATTGACACCTCCTCAACCACAACCACAACTACTTCACACACCACCACCACTTTCACCACTTCGATCATTAAAAACTAAATCTCTCTATTAGCAAAATACATAAATTTTTAGGGAGGTGTCCCAATCCGAAACACGAAGATTGAAGCTAGGTCGAGAGACGTCACTGGGTAGAGATTGCTATTGGTTTGAGCGATGTTGCTATTGATAATGTGTGTAGCAAGAGGTAAAGCAAACATGCCGCTGGGTGGAGTTCGCAATTTCATTTTGCAATGTGCACATCGAAAGAGGTATTGTGCCACTCGCAGCAGCGGTGACAGTCCGCTCCGCATGACTATGCATCGTCGAACCGTCGGGAGAAGGAGAGGAAGGAGAAGAGAGTAGGGGGAAGGAAAGGAAGGAGAAGATAGAAGAGATGATGAAAGATTAGGTTTAAAATTGGATGGAGCGACGGAGGTGGTTTGTAGATAGATTTAATTTTGTAATATTGTTAATGTCAAAGAATAATAATATTAAAAAGAATAGAATTATTAAATAACTAATTATAATCTGAATTTTGAAACATGAAACATAAAATATGATTTATGAAAGTAAATTTTAAAAAAGGTCCAAGTGTAATTTCCACAAAGCTTAATTCGTACACAACTTTTGTGAATTGGATTTGGAGTGCATGACATCACGATTTTATTGAGATTCAGCTTTAGGTTTTTAAAACGGACAACTATATAGAAATTATATCATTTATTTTTATTATAGAACTGTAGATAATTACAGAAATCATGATGCTCAATATAAATTTCTTCAAAAATAATAAAAATTATCAACTGCTTCTTGTTTATTGACAATCTGAATAATATCCATTTTACTTTTAACGTTTGAATCATCCAAAGTACACAAAAAGACATTATTTGAAGAGAACACATTTAACCCTTGTTCGAGTCCTATTTATAGAAAAAATTAGTTTTATCATATTATTATTATTATTATTATTATTATTATTATTATTATTATTATTATTATTATTACTATTACTTTTTTTGAGAAAATATCTGGATAAAAATTAGAAACTGATTTATTTGTAAAATTATTATATTGAAGAATGTGATTAAAAATGAGTTCGTAGGAAAATGAATTTTTAGAAAAATGATCTCAATTATGACTCATATTGTTTTTGATCTAAAAGCAATCCAAATTTAGCCCTCGTTTGGCCCCATTTTGTGAAAAATTAATGGGTGAAATAGTATATTTTAAAAAAATGAGTAGTTGAAAAAGAAGGAATTTTTTTTGATTGTCGTGTAATATAATTTTATGAAAGATTGTATGGTTGAAAATAGAAGAGAGAAAAATGAAATATAATGAAATGAAAATTAATGGGGCCAAACGGGGCCTTATTCGAGTCACTTCATGGACAACAATTGATTATGAATTCGGTACCTTAATTTGGTTTTAACAGGTTGTCATATTGAAAATCCAAGAAGAACAATTAATTAAGTTTAGTATTTTTCTTTCCATTCATTTTTTTAAAGAATAGTCAGACTTCACATGTGCCATGTGCAGGCACATCATCGATGGTATATTCACCGATGATGACGGCTTCTTAAACAGTTCATCGATAGTTGTCCATGGTTCCACCGAAAAATTTCAGTAAATGATTAATGAACAGTAACACACGTTCTTGATTAATTTTGTTAAATTATATTCTCTCCGTTCCATTTATATAGGTTTGTTTTGATTTTTCCACGGATTAAGAAATCTTATTTAATGTTATTGAAAAAACAATTTTTGTCAATAAATTAATAAAATAAAAATAGTTCATTTTATTTTTATTAATTGATGTCATTATAAGAATGTGAATGCTGGGATATTTTCCAAAGTCTGGAGTAAATTTCCTTGACATGCAATTGGGTGTAGAATTTCTTGGAAATTTCTTGGAAGAATACATACCTGCCAACATCTTCCTCAAGAGATTCAGGGCCCGTTTGGTAAGGATTTTGAGAATTGATTTTTTGACCGTTAGAAGAAAAGTGGGGTCCACATGTGAGAGAATAAGTCAAAAATTACGACTTGAATAGTAAAATAACTGTCAAAAAATTAATTTTTTGAGGCAAAAAATCCCTACCAAACGGGGCCTCATTTTCTTTAGTCAAACAAAACCATCTCCCTCTCTCTATATATGTCTTATATAAGCCGAGGTTACTGTATGAAGAGAGCATCTGTGTAGAATTCTGGGATTGAGAGCCATGGGAACTCAAGCATTTACGCCAGACTACTCAAAAGAAGTATGTAAACCCTCTCCATTCTTTCACCTTCTTTATTTATATAATATATAGATATACACACGTAATAAGTCTCTCTCTCTCTCTCTGTTTTTGGTCATGAGCATGCATTTGATAGCAGTGAATAAATGGTAATTCAATTCTTGTTCCTTCTTTCTGAAGCTCCTCTTCATTTTCTGCTTGTTGATATTGATTCCGTATAAGAAATTAGAACAGGAATTTTCGATTTGTACATAATGACCTTTCACAAAATCATTATAGATACTCACGGTGGATCCCATATGATTAAAATATTGTCAGAAAAACTTCACCTACTCCCATTGTGTGTATTCTGTAAGCCTTTTGTAAGCTTTTCTTCTGAGCAAGAAACAAGGCTTGCTAGAGTAAGTATACCTGCGCACGCACTATGCCCTTATTTGATATCGATTAATATTAAAATTTTAATTTAAATCAAAATTAACAATCAATTTCTGATTTTAATCTCTACCAAATATGAGCTATGTACAATATATATGTTTGTCAGTGTGTGTGTATTCATTCTAACACCTTAATGTTTTGATTTTCACATGGTAACATATTAGATTAAATCTCTGTTTGATTTAGATAAAATAAAAAAATTAGTAGATACTGATAAAAGTTGATGAAATGTATATCTGAAAAATATAAGTTCCATAAATACGTGATTAAACTTAATTTTCGATAATTCACTTTTATAACTAAACCAAATATAGCCAAGTAAAAATGTGCCTTTTGGAATTCAATAAAATTGTAATGTCTTTTTTTCATTCTTGCCGGCCAAATTCGCTTCTATAGTGCAACTCCAAAAAGCCCAGTTAATTTGGTCAACATCTAACATGAACATGACGTTCTACACACGGCAACAAACAAGTCAATTTTGAATTGAGGGGCCGCACCTAGCGTTCTACTAGCATAATAAAGAGTCGGCATATGACTTTCCGCGTTGTAAGAGACTTTTTTATTTTTAAAAATCATATTTTATTATTTGAACATTATCTATAAATTTAGAAAAGTTAAAACTTCAACAAACTCTTTATATTTAACACTTTAATTTTAATACTCCGAAAAAAAAATTATTATTTTTCTCTATATTTTATTTTAACTAATTTTTCTGAATTGTTTTATTATTTTTCTACATTGAAAATTGAAATACTTTGAATACATTTAACTATAGAGGTTGAGTTTGACGTACTCTCTAAGTTAAAATGTTAATTTAAAAAGTTTGTTGGAGCAATTTTAAGGGTTGATTATTTAAAATAGTTTGAAGAATTTCTTGAAGATGTTCTAATAAAATTAAAAACAAAAGAAGTAAAAATTACTTGGAAGTATTACTCTTTCTTTATTTTCAAATAAAATGTTACTTTAAAATTAAGCTCCTTGTTTGGCACGGCTAAAAAATCTAATCAAGATCTAAATTAAAATTAACAATTAATTTTAATTACATATTTAATAGATTCACAACTTTTAAATCATATATTTCATCTACTTTTATCAAAATCTGATTTTACTCTCTGTTGGCTAAATTTTATCTTATTGTTAACATAAATAATTTTTCTTAGTTATTGTTAGCTGATATATTACAACTGTAATGGGTTTAAATAGTAAGGAGTGGCCGAAATGGACGGATTCTTGAATTTTCTAGCATGTGGATGTGAACGTGGCTGTCTGTCATATTTCACCTAAAATTTGGCTAGGATTGACTTCAATTTTCATTGGTAGATGGAAAAAGCCAAACGATCCGCCCTGTTGACACTTCGGGTGACCACACCCTCACATGGCTAACGTGGGTCCTCTATGAATAAAATAATCCGCACCCTCCACGTGTATGTATTATGTCAATCATGCGGTTACCCACACAGGTTTTGTAACTTGGTCCTAGATTTCATGTTAAATGCTTTTTTGTAATCTTTATTTGGACCATCAATCCATGTGTGGACAGTAAATGAGAGACTATTTATTTTTGGTAATTTGCATGGAATGTCCCCAATATTTTTATTCTCTATGGAAATGGTCCTATCATAATGGGTTATGAGTCGATTTTAAAGGCGAGTTGTACTTATGGATATAATGCTAGACGGACGATAGAGGAAGGCTTAATAATAGGCATGATTCTCATTCATAAAATCTTACATGATGAAACAAGAAATGCAATAAAAAACAAGTACTATAAATACTTTAATTGAATAAATATACTGAATTTGATGAATCTTACATCACTTTGAATTGTAGGTCGATCAACGAACTGCACAACAGAAGGCAATAGACGAATGGTTGCCGATTACTTCATCGAGGAATGCAAAATGGTGGTACTCAGCTTTCCACAATGTTACTGCAATGGTTGGTGCCGGAGTTCTCAGTCTCCCCTATGCCATGGCAGAACTAGGATGGTATGTTTATTTCAGATAACATTAGTTTTGAGGTTTACAATTTAGTAATGTGTTTATATATTGTCAAATTCAAAATTAATCTCTTGTCCCAGTGGGGAGTATAAAAACGTTCTACTGCTTATAGGACAAGAGAATCTTAATTATGGTTCCTCGAGTTTGAGAAAATCATAATTGAAGTTTTCTTACCACGTTAGTAGTGGAATCAAGTCTGTTGTCAAAATTGCTATGCGTATATGTAACAGATTATATGTCTAAAGGTTTAAATTGTTAAGGTGCGGAAATAAGTTTATTCATTTACATCTTTTATACGAACCATAGGCTGGCTAGTGGCTAGATTCCATTTTTCTTCATACAGGAAATTTCATGAATTTGTGTCAGTTGAGATTCTAAAACGGAACTGAGAATCAATCTGTCAGATTCTCTTTTTTGTTAAAATCAACTTGTTTTATTGTGAATTAAATTATACGACACTGAAGAAATGAAAGTTTACCATGTTGGTTCGCATGGAGGATAATTTAATCTACAGAGCTATATCGGCATTATGGCATATCTGTGTTAGGTTGCCCCAATACACCTGGAGGAATTATTGGGGCTTCGTATTTTATTAGATATGTGAGGGAATCTTGTCTAAAAACATGGTGAGTAGACGTAGATCATCAAAAGTGAACCACCATAAATACATAAGTTCTTTGCTCGTTGTCCAGTGTCATTACTCTTGAAACTAAAAGGATTGGAGTTTGATCCATAACATGACAAACACTACTCAATGATAAATGATTTTCTTATATTTTCAGGGGCCCTGGAGTGACTGTGCTGGTTATATCTTGGATTGTCACTTTATACACTCTATGGCAAATGGTTGAAATGCATGAAATGGTTCCTGGAAAACGTTTCGACAGATATCATGAACTCGGACAACATGCATTTGGTGAAAAACTTGGTCTTTACATTGTGGTACCACAGCAACTAATTGTTGAAGTTGGGGTCGACATAGTTTACATGGTTACAGGAGGGAGATCTTTGATGAAATTCCATGATTTAGTATGCAAAGATTGCAAGGATATTAAGCTTACCTATTTCATCATGATCTTCGCCTCAGCCCACTTTGTGTTATCTCATCTTCCCAATTTCAATGCAATATCCGGTGTATCTTTGGCTGCAGCCGTTATGTCCTTGAGGTAGATAACACCTTTTTTCTTATGTGAATTATATATATTATTCAGAACAAAGAAATGGACATAAACCTCAAGATTCATGAAATCCAAAGATACAATTCAGATTATTAGTACAATAGTTGACCTTGTATGCATTTAAAGGCCCTGGCTAATGGGAAATTCAGAGAATGCCTTTCTCCATTTCTTTCCTTCTTCTTATTATTATTTTTTTAATGTTTTTTCAATCATGTTTGATAGTTTTTTATTTTGAATCTTTTCGACATATTAGTTTGTTGTTATGCAATTCCTGATAAAAATTGTGGAATCCTAATGCACTGATGCTATGTCATGAAGTTATTCAACTATAGCTTGGGGTGCATCAGTCGACAAGGGTGTGCAAGCAGACGTTCAATACGGCTACAAGGCTACGACTACAGCAGGAACTATTTTCAACTTCTTTAGTGCCTTGGGTGATGTAGCTTTTGCTTATGCCGGTCACAACGTCGTGTTGGAAATTCAAGCTACGATTCCTTCTACACCGGAGAAGCCTTCTAAGGGACCTATGTGGAGGGGAGTGATTGTTGCTTATATAGTCGTTGCATTGTGCTACTTTCCTGTTGCACTTATCGGGTATTGGATGTTCGGCAATAAAGTTGACGACAACATTCTTATCTCGTTAGAAAAACCTGTATGGCTAATTGCCATGGCCAACATGTTTGTCGTGATTCATGTCATTGGGAGCTATCAGGTACGCACCCTAACTTTCTGTCCTTCAACTATTTCTTTATCTTTTGAATAAACATATAATTTGATTTTCATTCTTGCAGATTTATGCAATGCCAGTTTTTGATATGATTGAAACTGTACTTGTAAAAAAACTAAAATTCAGGCCTAGTTGGATGTTGCGATTTGTTACGAGGAATATTTATGTTGGTATGTAAACTTCCATTTCTGCAAACCATATTTTATACTGATATGTACTTATAATGTGTAACATTTTCCTCATAAATTTATACAAACATCTTTGATTGCAGCATTTACTATGTTTGTTGGAATCACCTTCCCTTTCTTTGGTGGGCTTCTTGGGTTTTTCGGCGGATTTGCTTTTGCACCAACTACATACTTTGTAAGTAAACTTTCAGGGCATGTTACACTCGACTCAGAATTGCATAAGATAGCAAACAAGATTTTGACTTATTATTGTCTAATTGTACTTATTTGGATTTCATAGTTGACTATATAACATCTGCTTCTTCACATTCTGTCAGCTTCCTTGCATAATGTGGTTAGCCATTTACAAACCAAGGAAATACAGTCTATCTTGGTGGACTAATTGGGTAAGTTCAGAATCTGGTAATTCAATTTTCTTGAACCTTTGCGGTAAGAACAAGAAATCTAAAATTCAATCTCAATATGCATTGCAGATTTGCATTGTTCTTGGAGTTATTTTGATGATTGTTGCACCTATTGGAGGACTAAGGCAGATTATTCTCCAAGCAAAGGATTACGAATTCTACTCATAAGTTAAAGAAATTTAAGAAATTTCAAGTAGAATTCTCAAAAACAGAAACTGGAAGGAATTCTGCCCATAAAATCAGACAAAGATATTTTGGTGGGAGCTTTTCACTGCTCTGTATTTCTATTTCTGCATTTGGTTGTGTGTAAATTTGTTTTGGAGACTTTCTTATATGTAATCCCGCAAGTTCAGTAAGGAGATTTTGATAGAACTGAACATTATTAAGGAAAAAAAAAGTTAAAACTCTTCTTCATTATATTGTGTAATTCGTGATATGTATTATGAACCAAACATGCACTTAAGGTGTGCATCATTAGATTGAATGGACATATGATCCGTTATCTTGTATTGAGAAATGTGAAATACGAGTAATATTTCTTGCAGCGTTATATAGGGTTACATTGAGCAATTTGAGAACAAAATGATCAATTATATTTTATACTTAAATTTTCAATCCGATGCTTCTGTATGTATCACATTGATCACAGTATATATGTTCTCTGAGCAGTATTGCATTGTGAAATGAGTTTGCTTGAAACTCATTTGTAAACTACTGATGGAAGAAAATATGTTCTTAACAAGAGCATCATAATTTAGTGCATAGGATTAATCTAGTTCGGCACAGCTTCTGCTTTGAAATTTCTTCACAAGAGCAAAGTATGAGGGAAAAACGATATCCAGACTATCAAATCTTTATCTTATTTGAATTTACAGTTGGAGAGAATTATAGAAACAGTAAAACAAATAGACTCAAACATCTCAACAGGAATGACTAATATATCAGACAAGCGTAAGACAGAAAGGGGTTCCAAACAGAAAGCTATCCTCAGCAAGATTGCATCCTTCAATTCTCTAACTGTTGCACATTTCTAGTCGAATACAAAACTGAAAGCTTTTAACAAAGGCGCATCCGAAGACAGAAGCAAGTGTTATTTACCTTTAAAAAGGTAGTAAACTACAATTTTTGAAACTGGAATCAAAGTCCAAAGACACTGGCCAACTTTTCAAACACTTTGTATCCCTCATTAGAAAGAACCTACACCCAATAGTAACGAAGTACTATTGGAGAAGGTTGATGCTGGTCCACAATTGATTGACTGCGGTTGCACGTTACCCTTGATACGCTAGCTCGTAAAGGTGATCTATCTGCTTTATCTTTGATCAATAACTACTCAAATGTTGACTTTTCTCAGTCTTACAATGCAAGCGTCTATTTATTTGAAGTTCACATTTCTGGTACTCCGACCGCCAACCCTTACCAATTGCTTACTGGCAATAGCTCCGTACAAAAACCCAGTTTAATTCTTGTCCAAATTCTACATGCTTACGAAAATCAAATCAGGGTATGTGCCCAAAATGGTTTTAACATATTCTCCAACTTTCCTTGGAGATATTCTCTCCAAATAGAAGGCAGGATTCGTATGAATAGAAATATCCAAAATTTTCATACTTCCAATACTCTGAACAAATCCTCAAGGGCAATTATTCTGACTTTCTGCTTTAGGTTCAACCATTCTCTGTTGTAACGAAGCCATGGAAAGTTGGCAACCAAGGAACCAGCCATCCATATTTCACACTACTACAAAATGAACCTCAATTGAGGTTTGATATAATAACACAGTTGTAAATGCTTATTAAATAAAGCGAAATGGGTTGAGCTTAGGGATGGATCCAGGATTGGATCCAAGATCGGGCTACAAAATTTCAAATCGGGTTACTACGCGTAAAAAAAAAAAAAAAAAAATTACACATAAAAAACTGATTTTTTACCAAAAATAAAAAGATACCTTAAAAAAAAAGTTCTTGGGCTTGGGGGAGGGGGGGGCTAAGCCCAGCCCAGCCCCCCCCCCCCCAATTAAAAAAAAAAAAAAAAAAATTTAACCAAAAAAAAAAAAAAACTGATTTTTTACAAAAAAAAAAAAAATACCTTAAAAAAAAAGTTCTTGGGCTTGGGGGGGGGGGGGCCAAAGCCCACCCCACCCCCCCCCCCCCAATCCATCTCTGGTTGAGCTATAATTTCAATGAGATTCATACTCCAAAATTATTGTGGTCATGCTTATTCACGTTCTACTCCGCAAGATGATTAACATGATATATTTATTTATTGAAAATCATTTAGAATTATATTAAATATCTGACTTCAAATTTACCCATTTAAGACTTAAAATAAGTGAGAATTTAATCAAATTTTTTAAAATTTGTCCCACATAGGAAACCTTGAAAGAAGTTGTATGGTTTATATAATCGAAGTTTGGCAATTCAGTTAGGGCACTAAAAGACTCCCGTAGCCTTTGTAAATGGGGAGACCTAAATCTTATCGAGTTCAATTCTAAGTCCACATGAGTGTCGTTATGTGTTCTATCGGGTTGACACTAGCCCATGTTCTATTTTGACCTCGAGTCCAATCCTGTTGCGTATGAATAGAGTGAATGACAAGGCATAAGTCTGCAAATAGTGTGGCTTGTTGCAAGAAAACTTACATCACTTTCATTAAAATATTCCTGCTTTGAATCTCATTTCTCCCTCTTATTCTTCTACTATTTTTGAAGTACAAAACATTTCATTGAGTTTGTTGGAACTTTTACTGATTGCTGTGCCACTTTCATAAGAGATAAAATTCGTTTTGTCTAGAGAAAATTTACAAATAGTGTGGCTTGCTGCATGAAAACTTACATAACTTTCATTACAATTATTCATTCATTGAATCTCATTTCTTTCTCTTATTCTTATACTGTTTTTGAAGTACAAAACATTTCATTCAGTTTGCTGGAACTCTTATTGATTGCTGTCCCACTTTCATAAGAGATGAAAATCGTTTTATCTAGAGAGATGATTATTAAACACCTTTAAGAAATATAAAAGAGAGCAAATTCGTCTTAAGGATACATCATGAAATTGGTGGTCTTAAATTATATTTTTTTCGTGGTTTAATCTTTGATTATTTTGCTCCGATTTGATCCTATTCCTTTGTTAAAATACAATCATAGTAATCTGCAAGAGTAAGTATCTTCATATTGTTTGAAGGAGAAAATTATACTCAAGAAACAACAATTATTGAGACAAAGTTGATTTTTTTTTGGTTTATTCTACTTCTACTTCCCACTTCTATCCCTTCTCATTGTTGTTTATCTTCTGATTGTGTATCATAAATGGCAACCTTCGACAATCCACTCCCTAATATGACTTGAGAAAAATTCGAGGAATTTAATGGGTCAGATTTAAAGCATTGACAGTAGAAAAATGCTATTTTTATCTCATAACACTAAGTTTGGCAAAATTTCTAAACGAAAATGTAACTTCGGAGAAACTGGTTACAATTGATTCATGGAAGCACTCAAGTTTTCTTTGTAAACACTATGTACGCAATGAACTGGACAACACATTATATATTGAGTATTGTAATGCGAAGTATGCAAAAGAATTATGAAATTTCTTTGGACACAAGGTTCAAAATGCAAACACAAAGAAATTCGATGTCAATCATTTTTTGGATTACAAAATGAATGGAAGCAAGACTATTGTATCCCAAGTTAAATAATTTCAAATAATACTTAGTGATATCCATATCGAAAGAGTGAAACTCTGGGAATTATTCCTAGTTGTTGCATAGATAAACTGCTGCCTTTATGGAAGAACTTCAAGAGTTATTTGAAGTATAAAAAAAAGGAAGTGAAGCATGAAGACATCATTGTTCAGTTGAGAATAAGAAATATAATCACAAATCTGAAAAAGAGGAGTGACACATTTCATTAAAAGAAATCAAAAGCCAACATTGTGAAAGGAAATTCCAAAACTAACAAGAAGTGGAAGCACAACGACAAAGGTCTAGTTCTTCAAAGGCTTCTAAAGCCAAAGAATGTCAAGGGACAATGCTCAGGCTAATATAACAGAATATAAATATCTTTCTAATAAGGTGTAAGACATAAATCCTTTTATGGTCATTTTTGAATGTAACTTAGTAACGAATACTAAAAAAATGGAGGATGGATACTGGAGCTGCTTGTTACATATATGCAAACAACTAGATGTTCTCTATCTACTAGATGATGGATCATAATGAACAATTTTACAAGGGAAACTCTTCATCTTGCAAATTTGAAAGACATGGAAAGATAATGTTGAAAAAGATAAGTGAAAAGAAGCTCACTTTGAATAATGCTTAGTAGTGGAAAGAATTTGATATCTAGTCCCTTTTTAAGCAAGAACATATTTCAGTTAGTATTTGTATTAGATAAATTTGTACTTACCAAACTAAAGTATATGTAGGAAAGGGCTATCTAAACAAGGGGCTCTTGAAGATGAATGCAATGAGTATTGTTTCTCCAACTATGAATATTTTCTTCTTATTTGCTTGAGTCGTTTAATATTTGGCATGAATGATTAGGACATATGAGCTTTACTACTTTGTGTAAATTAATCAAATTGAATTTATTTCCAAATGTACAATTTAGGATATTTAAATCCTAATCAAGCTCGTTCTCAATGGCCTTTCATCCACAAGCATTGGTCCCTAAAGTACGCAAGAAAAGTAGATCACATGACAAAGAACAGTTAAAATGACACAGTTTATTATTTGATATAAAGTTGATGAAAACACAATCGATTCTATTATTTTCAACAACATACAAGTAATGAGCATATTTCACAATTTTTTTAAATGTCATGTCTACTTTACAACTTAAATAAGTTCAACTTATTATTTCTCGAGGCACGGATAGGTCGTGGCTACTTAAACTCATGTTCATAAACAGAACGACATAAGTACCATTTTATTATCAATAACGGCACTTGAATTGTTATGTTAATTTCTTCTTCATTTTCGTTTGTTTCCAATGCAATAACCTTCTAAATTGGACAACCTAAGTTGTGCCATTCTCACAGTAATAATAGAAGTTTATATTTCAATAATGTCACTTATACTATTTTCTTAGAACATTTCATCTCAGTAACGACACTCATGCCGTTCTCAAGGACTTTTTAATTCCTGTAAATGGTACTTCTGCCATTCTCATGGACACTTATAAATCAAAGACAATGGTAGTTATGCCATTTTCATAAACGTTTTGGTCTTAGTAATGACACAAGTGTCATTCTCATAAACAAGTATATTTACAAGCATAACGATAATCATAAAATTCTCATAGATGTTCTCATCTTAGTAATAGTACAAGTGTCATTTCATGGACAAGTAAATTTACAAACATAACAAAATTTGTGCCATTCTCATAGATGTTCTCATCTTAGTAACGGTACAACTATCGTTCTTACGGACACTTGTATTTACAAACATAACAATACATGTGTCATTCTCGTGTGAAAAAAAAAACTGAATATAAATGTACAATCGAAAATATCTAACAATAAACCCCTCTTTATTTTCCCGTTGTTA